ATAAATTCACCATGATTGGCTGGGATTCTTCCTATGGAAATCATTCATGAAAGGACAGCTTTCAGTCTCTTTCTTCAGTCCTCCCAACAATTTCATAGCTATTCAGAAATATTTTTCTGCTTAAATTAGCTATAATGGATGCTGCCATCTACTATGAATGCTAGTTCTTTCTCTTTAAACAATATTAACATTTTGAAGGGCTGTTAACAGGATTGATTGGGACATTTCATGCAAAGCACTGAACACATACCTGCCAAAAACCAGTTGTTTTGCTATTGTTATTCCTATTTATCTTATCATTATGTTTAAGTGACTTAGAGTATCTGGCTTTGAATTATGGCTTTAGCATATATTCTTTGTGCAATCTTGGTCAAATTGCTTCTTCACTCTGAGGTTTGGTTTCCTTTTCTGTTAGCCAGGCAACAAGTATGACTACTTTACAAAGTTACTGTGAAAATTAAATGGAGTATATAAACATTTTTCTGTACTTATTGATATTGACTTCCTGTACTTATTGAGTCTACTTCAATCAAATTCATGATCCATACTGTCTCCTGTTATTGAATGCCAAGACCTCACCTTGTTTCCTGAGAACCAATAGAAACTCTTAGTCGGAAACTCACAATACCTCTACATTCCACTGCCCCTTCTCATTCAACTCAAATCCATTTTTCAAGTTGCTCCTTTTCATAGATTATTTTCAGTCACTTGCAACCTACCGTGATCCATTCCCTGATTTTAGAAGTCCTACAAACAGCACTATGCATTTTAACACATTCCTCTTTTGCAGTTCATGTAATTTCTTTCTTTCTCTTTGAGATCAGTGAAAATGACATTTTTTAAAAAATCTAGCAGAGCTCTTAAGAGAGTTTAGTGTTTAGTAGTCACTTGAAAAATTGCTGATTAGATAATGTATATACTATGTCATATACTGAATTTAATAAAATATTATTTTTAGGATAATTAAATATCATTAAATCAGATAATTAAAAATAATTAAATCCAGAGAATTTAGATCTAAATCCTTGGGCAAAAGTCATTGAAAATGATACACATTATATTTTTCTTATTATATTTAAATTATATTTTTCTTATTAATGTTTTTGTTTTCACCAAAACAATTCTACCTACTTCTAATTTCCTTTCCTTTTGCTTTTATATTCTACCATAGAGATGCTAAGAATATTAAGTGAGCTGACAAAGTGAGTATATGTCATAAACCAGTGTCAACATCAAAACATGGAAATGACTGTTCCTTCTACACGTTTGTCAGCAGCGATGTGCAGGATAAAATGCTGCACAGAAAAATGGCTTAAAGCACTGGACCTCAACCTTGGTTACATATTAACATCATCTAGCAATCATACCATCACACCCATGCCAGAATTCCAAACCCAAAGAGCGCCATTTAACTTGTCTGCCATACAACTCAGCAACAGCGTATTTAAAAATTAGCTAGATGATTCACATGAGCCATGAGGGATGAGAACACTGGCTAGAGAAGATTCTCCACTTAGGAAGCTCTCTGGTTCACTTTCCTCTCACTTCTTTGCTTTAGGAACATTCTGCCTGCCTGGAGGAATTTAAGGCCATTAATCTAAGCACCCATTGGCTGTCACCAAGGGCATCTTTGGCACATATGCACAAGTAAAGATGATAGGATGGCTTCATTTTCAAAACTATTTTCTGGAAGTATCTTTCTGTAATTTTAGTAGGCTATAAGAGTGTCCACTACACTGAGATAAAGTAATAATAAAATATCAGCCTGGCAAGAACAGAGGGATCGAGAAAAGGGAAAGAAAAGAAAAGCCTATATCAACATTAACTATAAATTAGAGCAACAGTGTTAAGTTATAGATACCTGATTGATGGTTCCCAGGTTATCAGCAAAGCTATTTACTTCTGACAGAAGCAGAGATACAATAGATTTTCTCAACAAGCTGCAACTTCCCAGGGTTACCAGACTCTGAGAGACATAATGCTGCACCTGAAACTAAAGATAAAAATGAGTAAGCTGCTAATTTTTATCAAGTCAAGTCAAAATGTATTTAGTGGGCATTTTCTAAGAATTTACTACTGAGCTAAATGCTGTAGGGAGTACAAAGGGTGTCAATATAATTCTGGGTCAGTCTCCAGCAAATTTGCAAAACAGACAAATTATAATGATATAGGTACTGAGATTTTCTGTAACAGTTAAAATCTCAAAACGTGAAACAAGGTGCTAAAATGGAAGTTTTAGCTGAAGTAGCAGAAAAGACATAAAAGAGTTTAGGGGATAGACTATACACAGAATGAATAAAACAGACGATAAAACAAGATACTTAAGCCCTACCCTTCTGGAAAGATACACACACACCCCCCTACCTACCTACACACATAAATACAAACAAAAGGGTAAGAGCAGTAGTTTGAAGATGTCTTTGGGGAGAGTCACTGGTGCTCTGAGTCCCACTTCCATGCTGGAGAAGTACAGGTGGGAAGAATTTCCCTAACTGCCACAAGTCAAAAGAGAGGAGCTTTAGAATGATGAGAAAAAATGTGGGACACTGAATGTTCATCTAGCGGCAATTAAAGTACTCATCATTAAATAAATGTAAAAGGATAGTGAGAGACAATAAACTACATCTCACAGTTATCAGAAAAAATACCATTTGATTTTTCACCACATTAAGTTGTGCATAACTCATAACTAGAATTTCATTAAATCTGTCCTTTAATGTAGCCAGGAAACAGGAGTCTCCAAGGAGGACCTTGAAACACAGAAATAGTCATATACTCTGTCATTGTTCTATATGAGCTTAAAACCACACCAAGGAGACAGTGCTTTCAACTCTAAATAAATAATGCCATGTGAAATGCCACCTCCGTTTCCTTTAGGATGAACACTTACATGTAGATCTTTCTCAGATTGACATTTTAATAAGGCACATTAATTTTAAAAGTTAACCAATGGCAAAAAGACAGTGAATGGATTATAGAGTTCGAGAGAAATGTCTATTATAAATTTAGATATGCATAACTAGCTCTTAATAATGGTATTCCAAATCAACATATCAACTTAATGGAGGAATACAGCAAGCTATTAACACAGGAAATCACAGATATTTGTTTATCATTAGTTCTTAGTAAGATAATGGCCAAGATGCACAATCTTCATAATTTGAGCATCACTTGTAGATTTCAGATTTTTACGACATTTGCAGGTACACTGTACTTAAAAATAAGGGTACACCTACTTAAGCTCTAAAATGCTTTAATTGTATACTTACCTTCTTTCTTAATATATATTCTTTAGAGAACAACTTTAAGTGAGGAAAAGTTCACAGTGGAATAAAGGAGACTTTAGAGAAAAGGATGAGGCTGGCAGTGCCAGGTTAGGCATGCAGAGTCTAACACTGCCTGAGTCCCAGCTCCACTCTGTATTAGTGTGACTAGAAACTTACATAGCCTTTTATGTCTGGGCTTCCACTTCTGTAAAATACTGACTGTGATAATGTCTGCTTCGAAGAGTTTGTTATGTGCATATAAGTTAGACTGTAAAAATCCTTAACATCCTGACAGGCATTAGTAAGTGGTCAGTAAGCGAAATGCTATAATGTAGGGTGATAACATAAAAGCATTAAAGGCCATATAATATAAATTTAATTCGCTGACCCTTGAAAAGTTAAATACTATAAATAAAATCCATTTTTCTAAAGTTACTGCAATCCTATTAGAGAACATTGCTGAGAAGATAATTTAATCATGAAGAACTGTTCTATAGAATAGCTTTGAACTATTATCTACCCAGGACTTAAGTCCATACAAAGACTAAATAACCACTAACACGGTATAAAATTCTATGACTATTATTATAAAAATGGTCTCTCTTCTTTTTTTACATTTTAATTGACACTTGACCTTTCGTAAACACAGTGGAACTTTTAAGAAAGACTCACGTGGAAGCCAGGACTGCAAATAGTGGAAGAACTCACTCAACCACCATGCCAATCTTTTTCTATTACATCTTTACTTATTTCAAAGGTAAGAGAGCTAGAAATAACTCTCCCCAGATTCCTCTGCAATTAGAATTTTGGATATGAGTTGAGTTCTGCCAGTGGGAAGGACTCATTTGAAACCATGATTCAGAAGTGCATTATGGAGGAAGAGAAGTCAGCAAAGGACATGCATTGTGTTGGTACCAATTGTTCATGGTTCCAAGTCTACTTAATTATTTAGGTCCTTAATTATGACAGAAGAAAAAACTACCTTAGCAGCCCAGTAGTATAGGGTATTATTCCTACAAACTCGGCATCCCAGACATGCCTTATCTGTATGTTCACCTGGAGGACTCAACGAGTTCAGTGTCACATTAAAATCTTGACATATGCAGGGGCAGACACTCCTACCACATGCCCAACTCCTTTGCCTATATCAACTGTGCAAGGCAGAAAGACCTTGGATAAGGGCAGTGAGTTCCTATAAAGTTAATTAGGTGGTGTTTCCAATTACACAGTGCTGTTGTTCCAGATGCAGTTTCTTTCCTTGAAGGATCAACATTGCCCTTGATACTTGTTAGGCAAGTTTTGATGTGGAAGTTCTTTTTTCTGCCCACTATCCCAATAAGCAGACAAAGCACAACAAATTGCATTCACCTAGCAGACAGTAATATGCTTTTTCTGTCCTGTCTAAGACTGTGTACCTGTTGGCTCTGTGTCAATATTTAGTTCACAAGGATTATAAGCATCAGAATGTTCCGCCTAAACATATACTGGAATACTACACTGATGCCATCATGACGATATAGCAGGTGGTTTGAAGGTCCTCATAAGAAACATGCATGCAGGAGATAAACTCCCAGATTCAGGGACGGGATATAGTTTGGATGTTTCTGGACTTATTCAAGGTGGAATACCCTCTTCAAAGCAAAAAATAAGTTACTTGGGTATTTCCAATCACGAAAAATACATGATGCTTGGGAGGCTTTTGTGAATATCAGAAGCAATATATATTAATTTGTTTTACCACTTGGAAGCATACATTGAGTACACCGTAAGGTCAAAAGGCCTTAAACATTAAGAAAAGCCTAGAGTTGTATATAAAGATCTCCAGCTGGTCTAATGTGAAGCTCTGCCCCATGGATCTGATGATCAGTAAGATTCAATATGCTTGGCACTGACAGAATACCACATGGATGCTGTACCCAACTCTAGTTAGAAAATCACAAGGGGAGAAACCTCGGGTTTGTGGCAATCATACTTTTATTTGCAGGCAAATATTACATTCTATACAGAAAAAACACCCAAAAAAACCCACACCTCTTTGCTTATGCTAGTTGGCCCTACCATAGATCGAATGTCTGCCTGATTGCAGGACACCAAGTGATTGAATATCCATAGCTACACATTTGAAAAAAGCATTATCTAAAGTCAGGTCTGCACAGCAATACTCCATCATCAAGCCATCATTAAGCAGCCGTACTAGATACAAAACTAGGATCAAGGCGGAAGTAAAAGCAGACGTGTTGCTTCATCAGTGGTTCTTATAGTTCCAAACGGAAGACCACTCCCTCAAAAGCTAAGGTGTTGTTCAGTATTAGGAAAGGTATGTTGCAAACCTGTGACCAATATATGATGCTCTTTCTCCCAGAAGAGTGTCAGGCAGGGTGAATAAACTGCGCCTAAACAGTACAGGTTGTAACTGCAGGTATTCCTCTAAGAGCATACCACAGTACTTAACCCTGCTATTATGTTTTTATTTATTTTTATTTATTTATTTATTTATTTTTTGAGTCGGAGTCTCACTCTGTCACCCAGACTGGAGTGCAGTGGCCGCTCCCGGCCACCGCAGCCTCGACCTGCTGGGCTACGGCGATCCTTCCACCTCAGCCTTCCCAGTAGCCGGAATTACAGGCATGTGCTACCATGCCCGGCTGATTTTTTGATTTATTGTAGAGATGAGGTCTCGCTGCCCAGGCGGGTCTCGAACCCGCGGGCTCAGGCAATCCATTCACCTCAGCCTCCCAAAGGCGTGGGATTACAGGCTGAGCCACCGAGCCCGGCTTATTATGTTTTTAATAAAAAATTTAAATGAAATATTACAAATCAAATTTTAGACTATAAAATTCTGGGAGAGACAGCTAGTGTTGTGGGTAGCAGAATCAAGATACAAATTAACTCTCTAAGAAACAAGAATGAGTCCCAAATAAGTGAAAGGTAATAGAGATATTTGTAAAGTTATGTCTCTTTTAATTTCTATAGCCTGTTAACAACATCAATGCAACTTATAGATATTAAAATATTTGCTACCTGCTAAGCAGTTATTTAGCTTTGAGCTGAAAATAAATTAATGTCCAGAAGAATCCAAATCCTCAAAAAGGACCTGGTGGAACTTTACTAAAGGTCTTCATATTTCCTAGAAGCCTCACGTGGGCTTGGACATGGGGCAGGCAGTGATTTCTGTTAGGCTTTGTCACTGTGGAAATGACTCTTTCGAATCAATGTGATTCTACCTGGGAATTTGGAATGCTCTGGAACCCTACCTAACAACCGTTATAACAGCCATCTGCCAACATGCAAAGTGCATTGTGCTTACTTATGACTTCCTTCTCAAAGGGAACAGATTAGGAAACAAAATTTAATTTCCTTATCATTGGGGACAGTGTGACATTTGAATAGAAGTCAAAAGTGAATAATAATAACAGCATGCTATTTTATGTTTCAAAAGAATGGGGGGGGGCTGTAAAACCATATGCTTTCCTATTTCCCTAAAATGGCTTGTATTCTTGAGTCACTAGTATTTGCTTAAAGATATATATACATTGCTAATATCAGACATATCAAGTCACAAAAATAACAAAGAAACGTGAATGCTGGTGAATTCACAACTGAATCGGTAAAATAAAATTTGAAAACATAAGATCGAAGATACGTATGTGATAGAGACTGGTGACATGGAAGGACTCTCTATGGCTATATGCTAGAACACCAAAATGTTCTATTTCTATATCTGTTT